AGTTTGCAAAAACAAAATTTGTTTTGAAGACTGGAGTGTGGAGCCTGAATCTAATTAAATACACCCAAGCATCTCATGTTATCATGTGGTATGTATTCTGGAGCAGTGGCTTAACAAAAACTTGTTGGCTGAATTGTTTCCTTTATCCATGCTATTCCTGTTCCCTGTGATGGGAATTTATAAACAGGAGGTAATTAGAATACATGATGGCTCAGATCACATCTGCCAAATAACAAATTCTGGCCACCCTTATGTAATATTTCTCCCAGTAAGGCTCTTGAGTTGGCAAAACAAACAAACAAAAATAGCCTTCCTTTAATATGTTAAAAAAATAAACTCCTTCATATTAATGCATAACTGTCATCACTAGGATAAAAAAAATCAGTGATGGCATCCTGACCATTTTACACATATTTTTAGTAGTAACCTGTTTTTGTATTATTAAGCTATAATCAGAATTGTTACTATCTGTTATTAAGATGCTATATTTTAACTTGTCCTCAGCCAAATGGCATGGTTTTAACTCTTATAAAACCCACAATAATGTTAGGCATTTACCAATCTCAAAGAGCAATGCCCTTTTCTTAAATCTAAACCTATCTTAATTTCCATCATTTGAATGTAACACACTGAGTGGTTTGCTAGATAAGTATGCATTTAAGGATATGAAAAAGAATTCCATGAGCCTAGATCTGCTGCTGACCTCTGCTTTCCTATAGCCTTAGACTTGAAGTTAAGATGAAGGTAATATCCAAGCTGGCAATATTTCCCTGACCTAGTTTTTAAATTTCACATTCAAAAGAAATGGCAGTGGACTATGCACAGGCTATTTCTTCTGACAAAATGGAAATGGAAAAAGACTCAAATCTTTTAAAAAACTCCCCAGTATAGCACACCGTGACATGTGATCAATAGATCCTCATGCTTTGATATGTTACAGCGGCAACGTTCAGGAATGACTTACTGGGTTGTACATCTGATTGAACAACTGCTCAGCTTGCTACATTGCAAAGTTGGGGAAGCATTGAAGCACAGACAGGGAAAGAAGGAAAGATCCAGAAAAACAGCATTAGCTCAACAAATCCAGTGCATTTGCACAGACGACTGGTCATTAAAAAAGAAGAAATTTCAGTTTCTAAACATTCCACAGTGAAAGTGAGAGGCTCTAGGGAAATAGAAATGTTGACTTTGGCTCCTAGAAAAGAATAGCTGGAATAAGAAATTTAAGGTTTGTGTTACTTTCCCTTTCTCAAGTTAAATAACCCATGAAATAAAGAAAGCTGTCCACTTTTGATGATACATGAAGTGCTGGCCTCTAGCAATGAATCAGAAGAAGTACTTTTGGCCAAGTTTGCAATTTATTACCTGAACTTCAAAGATGGTAATAATAAAAGATTAATTAAATCTTATCATTGAATTTATAGCTCCTCTTTTATATTAACACAAGCCTGAATTTTCTATTCAGTCTAACTTTAGAAAAACATAGATCAGCAAACAGCAGATTAGCAATAGCAAAAAACCTGTAAGCAAGATATTACAGGATTAACAGTGAATGGGGGAAGTAAAAATTTAAGTGAACAGGAAAAACAAAGGGAACCAAAATACGGTATTATCCATTGCTCATTACCAGTTCCTACTGTTAGTTCATAATCAGTAAAAAATATAATTTTTACTAACTATCCTATTATGTTCTAAGTGCTTAAGAATCTGAAATGCTCTCCTGTCTATTTTGTGTAGAAGAGTTAAATATTTGTAGATTTAACTACACTAAATATTATTTTAAACAGCACTGTTAACTTATATTTATTAAATAACTATATTATTAATTTGGGGATCAACATCAAGGTATAGAAGGCAAAATATTATAGAAAATGTTTGCTTTACTCTAAGACATGTGCCTTTGAAGAGCCTGAATTTTTTTTGTTTGATCAACTTTAATAAAATAAACAGTAATTTTGCCATGGTTAAAAATATTAACTGGAAGATAATATTAATTGGAAAATAACATTTTTAAAGAGAGCATAATCATAACATTTCAAATTGCTGTTGTTTCTCAACTGATTTCTAGTCATGTAAGGTAAATTTATACTCACATACTGAACACCAAATAGTTTTGAAAGGCAAATTGATCAATATTATCACTCATCAGTTCTTCTCATAGGTGTCTATTTTGATGAATGAATGCACTAATTTATAAAGCACATTTAGAACTAGTAGCTATGCATTATTTAGTTAGTACCATTTTATCGACCTATCAGTAAAGATTTCCTCATGTGTGAACATTTCATTGCATTTTTTAAGATGCCAGACAGAATATATAAGAAATAGTTTATTTTCTGCCTATAAGCATTTTCCATCACAAAGTATTGATATTTGGAAATGTCTTAAATTAACACATATAGTAAAGGGCTAAAAACAATTATATATGAAAATGTTTCCCACAAACTTTCATAAAATGACTCACTTTACCAAATTCAAGAATTGTTTATAAGACAAAAAACAAATTTAAATCTCCACTTGGATTCCATTGTCACTGGCGGACAAGGTTTCTGTTCAGCGAAACACATCTACATTGTGTAGATTTTATGGCAAAAATACCTGGACGCTCACAAATCTTGAGCAAAATTCCACTGGGAATTCATGGTTTATTTATGACATAATAAAACTATTATGTTTTCAGCTTTCATTTAGTAACCCTTTATATTTTATTCACAAGTCACATACCCTTTTATTTAAAGGGAGGCCCAGACACTCCTTAAGCTTTTATAGCTGCTTATTTTTCCATGAGTAAATGATGTGTTTATATGTATATTCACATACTGTTGGCTTATATTTTCAAATATTTCATGTAGATCTCAATTCTTTTTAAGGTGATGGGTACTTGAGGTTTTTATGGAACTATTTATTAGCAGAAATTAAAGACTACTAGAAAAAGTATTTTAAACTTTTGAATTGAGTTGATGCTAGAGAGCCAAAAATAACAAAATAGCATCTGCAGGCTAGGTATGAAAATATTTAAATTATAATTACCTTATTTAATCTCACTGTACTATGCATTTAGGAGATGGTATAAGCAACAATTATTTATATACTTAGAAATAAGTTATTTTTTTCATAAATTAAGTAGGTCCTTTACAGTAAGATAACCATATTGGTCACTTTAATTCTAGTGATATGGCAGACTATTAAAATATTCTCAGGAATAATGCTAAGATGTTTACAGAATTTGATTTGTGCAGTCCAGTATATGGTGTCTACCTGTGAGTTAAAGGAAACCACATAATTGAAATGATTTCTTGGGCAAACCATAGGTATTTTGAAAGAAACTAAATTGAATTGCATAGATGTTGATTTATTAAACTAGTCAAGTCATATACGTAGAAACTATAAGCATCACTATGTGAACCTTTTCCTTGTAATTACTATAGCATTTCAAATCCACAAATGACTTTAACTGAAGGGGAGGACGTCTAGAAAAATAATATATGGAGTGCCATCATCTGCATAAGAGCTCTTTGGAGCTGATGTAGGGAATCTATCATGTCCAGGTCTATCTGAGGTCCTCCTTCTTCAGGACTCAGCACAATACAACTGAGGTAAGACAGTACGAAGGACCACCAAAGGAAGCCAATGAAGTTCTCTTTTCACAGAGTTATGTTTATGATCTTCATAGAGCCTGCTCTATGATCACAAAACTGTTGGGTAAAGAAAAAGTACATTTCTTGACATGCATGTGCATGTATAACATTTCAGGACATATTTATATGTGTGTCAAGAATCCATATCATATACCCAGTGCATAAATATCCAAGTCAATCTCCATTTAAACTCTCTCAAATGGGCAACTGAAATTCTCCTATTTATTATTCAAGATTTCTGCTTAACTAGATATTTCTTGAAAAAAGGTGAGTTGTTGAATAGATTGGAAAATAGATTTTGCAATACAGAGTTTCTTGTTATTTTTTTGCCAAGGGATTTGATTTGTATACATATCTTTCTGTATTGGTAAGGAGACTTTATTAGTGTGAAATTTCTCAAGACAACTTCCTAAAATTCCATGGTAAAGTGAATATAGTATAATCACATTTCAGTTATATATTACATCATACAAAATAGAATATTAAATTTTAAGATATCTAGAATAATTTCTCCAAAGATATAAATGCTTTCACATCCCTATCATCCATATCATATATTTCCATAATTTTAGCAAATAAATCCCCATTCCAATGTGCTGTGAAATATACATAGTCAAATTTTTTAGAGTCTTATCTCCTTTGAATAAATTTATAAGTCATCAAAGGGAAACAAAATGCTTAAACTCATAATGTTATGAGTTTTATGTACACAATGAATGCAGACATACCAAACAACACAGGGCAAAGTCAAAGGAACAATGCGTGACTGGAAATGTACTCCACGGAAACGTCCAGTTCAGAGAAAACATGTCAATGCTGCAATATGAATATCCTGCATTCTTTCTCAAAGCCTTTTACATTAAAAAAGCTTTCTTAGGGCCATTTCAGGTCAAGTATAAATACTCATCCCACAGGTATTCCAGGGACTTAACTATTTTGGTGAACTTCTAGAAATTTAATGTCATCAGGTAAACTTTGCAAAACTCCAATAAAAATGTTGACCTATTTCTAAAAGAAGAAAAAGTTTATCAATGCATAATCGAGCCCCTGGATTCTTTGGTTTGTTGCAAATTTCCATTTATCTCTTTTGATAGTTGAGATTTGCCCAGAGAGTGATGGCTGGCTTTTATATTTGTTACTTCCACTACTATTTTCATGTATTTTTCAAGTTTTTTTTCCAGACAAGAAACCTAAGATAATTTTTCAGGTTTACAGACAGATTTGATGCAGACTTCTTAGGACTAAAGAGTGTTTAATTCTTTTATCAGCAGACAGCAAAAGATAAGGGTTTTTTTTCTTTTGCTTTCCCATTTTGTAATTCATTATAAAATAAGCATTTTCCCCCCCTTAGGCTTGACTTACCTTTTTTAACTGTGCCTCCAGTTTGCTACATTCTTCTTTCTTTTGTTCGATGGCTATTTCTAGAGATTTTAATTTAGAGTCCCTTTTCAGCCCTGCTGAGGCTAATGAAGATGCATGTTCCTTGAGGTCAATTAAACTAGACTAAAAGGAAGAGAACACTAGTAAGTAAAATACTGCAATTTCTACTAGCAATGTCTTCTATTTGAATACATTGATTCTATATATAGCAATAAAGTGTGCATTAGACAAATGAGTAAATATAGTCTTACTAGGGTAACAATAGTCTGCTCTGGCCCGGAAATTACAGTTGGCCAGCTTACAGAACTGAGCAGGATCTAATTGCAACACAATCAAATGTGACCAAGTGGTGCAGTCAGTAAATGCATGTTTCCCGTCTCAAAGCCATGCTAATGATGTAAGTCCCAAGGTGGTCTTTACATGTCACGGTAAAACAGACACCCTGAACCTTCCATTTACATTTATTGCTGTCAGGTCATGCAGACTCTAAGACAAATATGAGAGAAAATACTGACTCTAATGCTTTCCCACCCTCCCTCTCAGGGAAAATCAAGTATAAAACACCCTATTAAGTTTTGATAAAATTCCCTTTCTTTAACAGACAACTGGCCAGTGGTTTTTCAAACATTTTTGTGTAATCAAAGATAAAATTAGTTTAAAATTTAGAGTAGACCTCATGTTCCAATCCTTTGTAAATACAGATTCAGCAGATATAATGAGCCTCTCCAATTCAGACATGGGGTTACCTAAATTTTTACATTCATCATTCCCACCCAGAAACCAAAAGCTCCCCTGTATAGTCTGAATTTTTTAAACTAAATAAATAAATAAACACTTGCATACATCACAGAGCATAATTTTGCTAGCTAGGATAGCAAGGTCCATCATTAAATATGAAATCATTAGCAACATCTAACTATGTGACTAAAATGTTCAGGTTTCACCTAAAAGCAGATGCAGTGCATTTCCTTTATATCCATTTTCAACACACAGGAAGACACTAAGCATACAATGCTCTCTCTGTAGATGATATTGCCTAATACTTCACATCCAGATGACCTTGTTGATGAAGATACTACCACCATCAGCAAGCAAACAGCCCACCTCGTAACCCTCTAAGGGACAGGTTAGCCATTCTTATTTTTCAGGTCAGGAAACTGAAGCTCACATGACCTGCACATCTTCTCCAATGTTACCAAGGTATCAAAGGGAGATACAGATCTCAAACCCAATTCAAATATCAATATTTTCTATCATATTACTTCCCCAGAAATAAAAAAAGGACCTTATAATTCCGGTATTTTGTCATGGTAAAGATTATTATCACCCCATCTGAATTATAAACTCCCTGCTAACAAATTATATGTTGTTTTCTTGAGATAGCTTTTAAGTTGCTGGGTGTTATAGCTTCAGGTGTCAACTTGTCTAGGCTCTCTTCCCCAGGCGTTCAGTCAAACACTGATCTGGGTATTGCTGTGAAGTTGTGTTGTACATGTGACTAACATCTACAATCAGTCGACTTTAAGTAAAGAATACAATTTTCCATAATGTGGGTGGGCCTGATCCTATCAGTGGAAAGGCCTTAAGAGCAGAACTAAGGTTTTCCTGAGAAGGAAGAAATTCCACCTGTGAACAGCAACAGGTCAGCTACCATCTGTGAGTTTCTTGCCTGCCCTTCCTGACGTCCTGCCTTATGAATTGTGGACTTGCCTAGCCAGCCCCCATAACTGTGTAAGCCTATTTCTTGCAATAAATTTCTTAATATGGTTAAATTTTTTAATACAGTTCTGTTTTTCTAGTGGAAGCTTGACTAACACACCCAGCCCACTGGCAGGCACATTATTATACAGGAACAATAAATGTTTGCTGAAATGCCTGTCTGAAATTCATACACTGTAGGCATTGTTTACAAAATTATTTTCATTTAAAATTTATGCTCCACCATGTCATCAAGATCTCTTTTCAATAAGATGTGTGTGTGTGTGTGTGTGTGTGTGTGTACTTTTTAAGGAGCAAACCCATGAATAGCATTTGCAGTCAGTGGCTGAAAATGAGTCAAAGTCTTCTATCACATATCAACTATAGTAATTATAGATTCCCCCAAGTTAAATTTAGCAGGGAAATAGTATGAAGAGGATTTATATTCTTTATTTTCATATCAAAACAATAATCTCCTGTCTAAAAACTTAAATTTTAGGGAGTATAAATTTTGCTTCTGAGTTTCCTCAAAACTCCTATTATTCATCAATTCCTCCTTTCTTGGATTCCTAATGTACAGAATTATCTCTTAGATTCCTAATTTATAGAAAATTATCAAAACTCAGCAGAGCCCTGGCTGGTGTAGCTCAGTGGATTGAGCGCAGGCCTGCGAACCACACGATCATGGTTTGATTCCCAGTCAGGGCACATGCCTGGGTTGCAGGCCAGTTCCCAGCAGGGGACTCAGGAGAGGCAACCCTACATTGACATTTCTCTCCTTCTCTCCTTCCCTTCCTCTCCACAGATAAATAAATAAAATCTTTAAAGAAAAAAACAAAAACTCAGCAGAGTGGAAGGACCTGTACCAGCCCTAAAGTAGATGGACATTTCCTGCCAGGAGGCGGGGAAGGATAAGGGTGAAGGGACCAGTTGTGGACAATGGCACATATGTCAGAGTTTTGACAATTGAATAAAATAATGTGCATTGCTGCTTCTCAAACCTCTTCAGTGAAGTATCCCTAAGTAAACTAAGGTGTTATAGGTGTACCTCAGCGTAGGGGGCTATAACCCAAAGCATTCTCTCCATGACCCCCAATAAGAAGTTTCTTTAAAGTATATTGTTTTACTGAAAAAAAAAAGTGAGATCTGTTTGGGTTTCCCACATTTGCTCTAATGTGAAAATATTGTTTTAAATTTTTACCATAACATGAAGATGATGTCCCAGAAGAACAGCCACATTTAACTTTTTGTGTCCAGCCTGATACCAAATCTCTTAAGCTGGGGGTACTGAGTTATCCCCAGAAGCACAGATGAACGTAAATCACCCAACCCAAGAATTAGGATGTTAAAGGCCTTCAATAAAGTGGAGCTGCTATTATTATTATTAATGCTTTTGTTGTTATTTCAAACAAAAAGTCAATGGACACAAAAAATACGGACTCCTCTAAGCCACACGAATGTGGTAAAACATCCAGAAGAATTTTAAGGAGCTCCATCCTATGCAGTTAGAAGAGAAGACATGTATTGAGCATCACTGATGATGTTTCCCTTTGAATTCAGACAGCTTTACAAAACAGGAGCAACTATGTTCCCCAAATCTTCACACCGTTCCTCAAACTAAGTCTCTGGACTCTTGAGGCTACCATAAATGCAGTTCTATGAGGACCATCAGTATGGTTCAAGTTCAGTTGTTTTTCCAAACTCACCTCTTTTTCAGTCAGTTCAGCTTGTAAAGCATTGACCTTCTCTTTTAGGTCTTTGTTCTCTTTTCGGAAAGATTCTATCTCTTCTAGTCTTTCCCGATCATCTCTCTCTCGCTGCTCTTTCAAACGTTCAATTATTCTTTCCTGTGAGGCAATTGTCAAAAAAGAAGAGGTGAGAACCCGTCTTTCACCTTGTCATATGCCAAGATATGCTAAAAATGAGGCAATACATGTAAGAAATTCCCTATAAGAATCAACACACATAGATATTATTAAAAATTTGGTTTATCAAGACTTCCGCCAAGATGTAGGCATATGTGGATACGCAGTGCTTTCTCACACAACCAAGTTTAGAGACAACAAAATATTAGCAACAGAAAACACAGCCAGAACACAGAAAATTGAACTTTTCAGAAGTCCGATAACAATGAATTCTTCAGTCTAACCAGTAAGAGGGGCGAAACCAGCAGCTGGTGGAGTGGGTTGCACAGGAAAACTTGGTCAGATGGACTCAGGCCCGTGGATCCCAGGCATGGGGTGGCAAAGGGCCGACCCAGTGAGCGACCCAGTGAGCAACCAGTGGATCTGGCCAGGGTGAAGGACAGTGGGTTGACTGTGCTGGCGCATTCCTGTGCAGATAGACCAGCGAGGGAGTGGGCAGTGAGATGGGACTGAGCAGGTCCCAGTGACAGGAGGCAGCAGAGACAGCCGCCATTTCTGGGCTCTGACCCCGCCCCCACATAGAGCATCACAACCCAGCAACCTGAGCAACCCTACCCTGGTGAACACCTCAGGCTTCGCTCCTCACCCAGCCAGCAGGAAGCAAGAGAGGGGGGACGTCATTTCCCGACTCTGACCCCGCCCCCACATACAGCATCACAACCCAGCGACCCTGCCCTGGAGGCCCCGCCCTGCCCCTAATGCTCCGCTCCTCATACTTAATGAGCACGAACAGACCAAAAATGGCTCAAGAAGATCTCAAACCCCCAGAGCCCATAAATCTAAGTAACGAAGAAATAGCAAAATTTTCAGATGCACAGTTCAAAACACTGGTCATCAGGATGCTCACAGAACTGGTTGATTTTAGTCACAAATTAGAGGTTATGAAGGCTAAACTAATTGAAATGAATGGTAATGCACAGGAAACCAATAGTAATGGAAAGGAAACTGGGACTCAAATCCAAGGAGTGGACCAGAAGGAAGATAAAAATGACCAACCAGAAAAGAATGAAGAAACAAGAATTCAAAAAAATGACGAGAGACTTAGGAACCTCCAGGACATCTTTAAACACTCCAACATCCGAATTATAGGGGTACAAGAAGGGGGAAAGGAACAGCCACCAGTGGAAAACTTATTTGAACAAATAATAAAGGAGAACATCCCCAATCTGGAAAAGGAAATAGACTTCCAGGAAATTCAGGAAGCTCAGAGAGTCCCAAAGAAGTTGGACCCAAGAAGGGACACACCAAGGAACATCATCATTACATTATCCAAGATTAAAATGAAGGAGAGAATCCTAGAAGCAGCAAGAGATAAGGGGACACTCACCTACAAAGGAGTTCCCATCAGACTGTCAGCAGATTTCTCAAAAGAGACCTTACAGGCAAGAAGGGGCTGGAAAGAGGTATTCCAAGTCATGAAATCCAAAGACCTACATCCAAGATTACTCTATCCAGCAAAACTTTCATTTAGAATGGAAGGACAAATAAAGTGCTTCTCAGATAAGACCAAATTCAAGGAGTTCATCATCACCAAGCCCTTATTATATGAAATGTTAAAGGGACTTATCTAAGAAAAAGAAAATAAAAAATATGAACAGTGTAAGGACAGCAAACGCACAGTTATTAACAACCACATCTAAAACAAAAGCAAGCTAAAAGGACAGCTAGATCAGGAGCAGAACCATAGAAATGAAGATCTCATGGAGGGTTAGCTACGGGAGTGGGACGAGAAGGGGGGAGAAGGTACAGAAAATAAGTAGCATAGATGGTAGGTAGAAAATAGATAGGGCGGAGGGCAAGAATAGTATGGGAAATACAGAATCCAAAGAACTTGAGACACATGGTCATAAACTAAAGGGGGGGAATAGTAGGGGTGGGGGTGCAGGGTGGAGGGGAATGAAGGGGGGAATAGAACAACTGTAATGGCATAATCAATAAAATAAAAATTAAAAAAAATTGGTTTATGAAGAGAGGCATAGCAGAGAACACAGCTTTTGGCCTGTTCATAAAAGCATCACAGAGTTGCAAGAGGCATTCATGTATAAGCTCTGAGGCTGTTTTGGTTCATGGTACTTAGAAAATTTCAAAAGCTGTTCCAAAAAAGGGAGGGTCAGGCACTAAGACTCTGGACTTGCCAAAGCCTTGTCTGGGCAAGAGAAGAAGAAGAAGAAAACTCTTGGCTCTACCCTTCTTGCTTGGCTTTCCCACCTGATGCAAAAAGACTTTCCTTGGTTTCTGAAGACTCTTCTCTGACTGGAAAGGGGACTGGAGTGGGGCGGGACCTCCACCATTCAGGACTGAGGACTGACTCACAGTGAGAACTTGAAACAAAATTAAAATAAGCTCATTGTATAAGTGGTTTCCCAATGTGTCAGAAGATATTTATTTACTTCCAAATTTTCCCAATGGCTTATTGGCAATGAGCAAAGGCTCCAAAGCATTGCTTGACTTTGAGCAAAGTTCACTTAGCAGCTTTCCCATATTGAGAGCTTACTACACATTAGGCATGGTAATGTGCCCCACTTACCTAGTCTTCATCACGACTGAAGGTCTGAAGCACTGCTACTGGGAATAGTGTAGAGCTGAGGAAACCCAGGCACAGAAAGGCCAGCTGACTCATCGAAGGTGACCCAGCTCATAAACAGAAGGCCCACCCTAACATCCAAAGTTCTCTTAGTCTTAGCCAAGTCCCTGAGACCACACCGACACAAACAAATGCCTGAAGACATTCAGAGAGATCTGAGGACCTGCCTGCCCTTGACTTTCCTACTGAAATAAAAATACTACTCTGGTAGTCACGTTTCCGAAACTGTACAGCCTTGCCGATATCAAAATAAGAACCTTCTATTTTAAAAGAAAATTCCACTTGGGAAAAGTTCGAGTTAGATTTCTAAAGCTGGTTTCAAATTACCCAACACATATCTGAACTTCCTTTTGGATGTCATCATTAAAAAATATTGGCACAACAATGATGCTTAAATATTCTGATATTATCTTCTATATTTTTCTAAGTACATAGTAAAAGACAATTCCTGATACTTAAGACGATTGTAGAACAGTGTTTAAAGCAGAGGAAAGTTAGTCTGAACACTTGGTCTGTGATTTAAGGATTCCCAGGGAAGCAACTGTTCTACCTCAATGACAATAATGTTTGTATCTAATGTTTTCAGGGGGGAAAGAGTAGCATTATTGCTTTTGCTACTTTAGAGTGAAGTATATCATTATGACAGTGGGAGTGAAAATAGAATAAATGTGTCTATTAATTGCCTATATTTGTTTCTTCTTGATTCCAGCAACAGTCCTATTTGACTTTGTCTGTGACATTGGAGAGTGGATGATTACGTGATCTACAGAAGAAAGATATGGCCTCAGTGTATGGTAAGTCTCTCGAGGGCTTTCCACGATTTCAGCAAATGAGCCCTTACTGCCTTTTGCCTGTATTTATTACAAAAGTCTCATGACTGGTCGCCTGGCCACCAGGCCCTCTCCATTTCATCACTTCTACCACAGGGTTGTTGGGTGACATTTTTAAAGCCCCAAACTGACTGTGTCACCTCACTATTTGACATCCTTCCCAAAAATCACTTTGGCCCTATCGTGTGGCATTTATTACCACTCAGCACTGTGCCCACGGTCTACTGCATGCTCAACCTCCCAGGCCAGCTTACCCAAGGGCAGCACTCTAGTCCAAAGGACTGGGCAAACTGTCTGGCATACAACAGGCAACTAAAAAGGCTGATGGAAGAAATAAGAACTCAACTTAGGAATCATCTTGTCTTCAAAGGAAGGGAAATGAAATTAAGTACGTGTTTTAACATCCAGAAGGTGTCAGAGTCATTTGGAAACAAGGTTGATTTGCTCTAAGCACTTGTACTATTGACTGGGCATTGATGACAAAAAACATCATCAAGCAGTATAACGTTTTTAAGTGTTATTGATGATTCAATACTCCAAAATATTTCTCCGTCAATCACAAAACTAATTTAACTGTCAGCCACACAGGGCCAGATGTCAAAAACATGTGTTAAAAAGCCTTAATATGCCATGATCTACTTGATTAACAGCTAACTTGTAGAAATTCCAACAATGTGTTCTTGTTTTAGTCTTATTTGCATTGGCAAGTGTTCCTAGCGCACTCATCTGGCCCTGCACAGGTCTAATCTCTTTGTGCTTTATCACTGGGTGGGAACTGAATTGCAGTGGCCTCCAGCACTGCTATCTGGCTTTCTTAACTGCTTATCTAGTATGTGGCTACAGCAAGGCTTGGGAGACCAGCTTTATAAACACCATGCATTCTGTCTCTTGAACTTATGTGTGTCAATCCTAGAACAAGGTCATACTCAATCTTAACTTGCTAAGTGGCATTATTTTTTTCAAAGTCTGAATATGTGAATAAGTTCCTGGAAATTAAAAAAAAGTAACGCACTCCCTGGGACGTAATAACCCAAGTGGAATGGTGAATAATGCCTAATGGGTTCTATTCATTGGCCAAAAGACAACAAATAATTCAATGTTCTTATGAATCTAATTGTTAATAAATCATTTTATTTTTGTACCATAATTTGTTCCAGAAGATTTACTCAATTATATGTGAATAAAATTAAGAACTTGTGAGGGAAATGCCATTAAGGAGATAATGATGTCAAAAGCACAAAGATCAGAAAGTTTGAGATTTAGTCCTACTCCATCACCTGTGAGCTGAGTAGCCTTGGGATAATACAGGGTAGGCAACAAAGTCCCAACAAAAGGCCACCTTAGAGCATAAGTGACTTCCTGGAGTGCTGATTTAGAAATTAGCTGTGCCAAGGTTGATTAATGATGCCTGTCCAAGGCTCAGAAGTAGCAAGTGATGCTGTACATCTCCCAAATTTTATTTCTGGGCAAGTCATTTTACCTCACTAAGTCCCTTTCTCATCTTTAAAATGATAGAGCATAGATTTCATGTTTATCAAAGTATGCTTTTCTGACCACATGCATCAGAATCAATGTGCATGATGCTATTAGAGTTGTCTCATTTTTTTCTCCCCTTTATTCTCCTCCACTCCCACCTAGACTCCCCCCAACCATTGATTCATGTCCATGGGTCATACATATAAGTTCCTTGGCTTCTCCATTTCCTATACTATTCTTAACCTTCCCTGTCTCTTTTGTACCTACCATTTATGCTTCTTATTCCCTGTACCTTCTCCCCCATTCTCTTCTCTCCCCCTCCCTGCTGATAGCCCTCCCTGTGATCTCTATTTCTTTGATTCTTTTCCTCTTTTAGTTGTTTGCTTAGTTTGTTTTTGTTTTTTAGATTCAGTTGTTGATAGTTGTGAGATTGTTGTCATTTTACTATTCATAGTTTTGAGCTTCTTTTTCTTAGATAAGTCTTTAATGCTTCATATAATAAGGGCTTGGTGATGATGAACTCCTTTAACTTGACCTTATCTGGGAAGCACTTTTATCTGTCCTTCAATTCTAAATGATAGCTTTGCGGGATAGAGTAAGATATTAGGATGCACACAGAAGTTTGACACCCATTGGAGTAAATACTGAAATCCACTATTTGTCCTGTGATAGAAGGCTTTGCCATTTCCTATCCAATGATTTTGTTTTTCAAATACATTAGCATTGTTGTTGTGGCACCTTTAGAAAATTCCCTCTAAATAAATTGTTCTGTTTACTCTTATTCTTCATTACTATGAAAGGCAAAAAAAGATCAGATGCAAATAGTATTTGCAGACTAACAGCTCATGGGTCAAAGACAACCCACGGAGCTATTTTGTTTGGCTTGAGCATTCTTATTGTTAAAAATCTGAACTTGGATGTTTTGAGACAGGTCAAGGAATACCCAGCTTACCACAGTTGCCAATACTCCCTACTCCATAACACCAAACCCATTTCTCTCATTTTTGTTCCCTGCCAGCCCTCTGAGGAGACATCTAAGCTCTCAATTCCTCATCTATGGTCCAATTCAGATTTCTCGTGCCTGAGACTGAGGATGAGCAAATTGAACAATTATGATCCTGAGAGTTCCAAAATTGAGAATGGAACTTAGAGATCAGCCAATTTAAACGTGCATTTTGAAAATAAGGTACTAAGAGACACTTGCAATGGAAGAGCCTTGCCTCACTTGATGCAATTATCAAGTAGTGGAGGCAGGATGAGGGGCCAGACTCCCACAGACCCCAGCTATCCTTCCCGGTCATCCCCTTGGCTGCAGGGGAAGTGCTTAAGGAAGGGAGTAGTTTCAGATTTGGGAATTATTTGGGATTTAAACTAGAATAAATCAAGTCTTAATAGAGCCAAGGGAAAAAAAATGATAGAGTTCTGCCAAGAATTCACAATATGGAAAATTATATGGTATATGTTTACTTCTTAAAATTTGGACACAGAAATGAAGAGATACAAATAGGTTGACATCCTACCACTCGAAAACTTGCATAAAGATTATGCAAAAGGGTTACATAGTCTTTAATAGTTTGAACCAACATTCTCTCATTCAAATCTTACAAAGGAAATTAAATTATTACAGAGAGCTTTGGAAATGCAATCTTTTTTTTTTGTGAAATACAATCTTGAAAACTAAAAATAGAAGAATATCTTTCCCTGCAAAATCACTATATTTAAACGTCTTATAAGTCTTCAGGTAAAATCTTAAATCTTATAATATAATCCTAAATTTATTTATTTGTTTGTTTATTTTTAAGATTTTATTTATTTATCTTTAAAGGGAAAGGGAAGGAGAGAGGAAGAGAATATCAATGTGTGGTTGCCTCTCATGGGCTGGGAACTGGCCTGCAACTTAGGCATGTGCCCTGACTGGGAATCGAAGTGTGATCCTTTGGTTCGCAGTCCCACGCTCAATCTACTGGGCGTGCCCTAGGAGAGAGAGAGTTACTTGACTTCTGAAATCCTATGTATTTTACTTATTTACTTATTGTCTGTTTCTCCTTCACACCCGTTAAAATCTAAACTCCATGTGACCCAGGATTTTGACTCATTTTTTTCTCTGTTGCATCTCCTGTGCCCACAGCAATGCCTGTCATACGGTGGGGACTCATGCAACCGGTGTTTGCTGAGCACCCCCCCGGGCAGGCATTACTATACCAGGCACTGAGTGAAGGTGAGCTAACACATAAACGGCACACAGATATGGGTGTGCTTCTTGGGCTTGGAGTCTAGCGGAGGAGACCAATCAATCACACACACACAAAAAACAGACAAAAGCACAATTAAGATTACAACACGAGCTCTGAAGTTCACAGTATTCATGAGAACATCATGAAGAATTTTACCTAGAAGGGTACCCTGAAAAAATGACTCATAAAATAATAATAATAACCATACCTATAATGTATTATACCTATGGTTCTAAATCAGAACTGAGAAATAAACTGAGGACGTGAAAGATTAAGTAGTTTGTCCAATGTAGTAAATGTCAGACCTAGGATTTGAAGCCAGGCAATCTGACTGCAGTGTCCACATTCTTAACTATTGTACAATATAGCTCCTCAGGAAACTGAGCTCTCAGAAGAAGAATTAAGTCTACAGAGAGCAGAAAACATGTCTGTATAGCATGTAATAGCAATAACAGCATGCTCAAAGGGTCTGAGGCAGGATGGAGAATGGTACAGCTGAAAATCTAGAAGGCCAATATAGTTACAACACTACAACACAGAGAACAAGGGGAAAGAGATGAGGGATGAGGCTTGAAAGGAAGGAAAGAAGGAAGAACGAAAAAACAAAGAAAGGGAGTGGGGGAGAACGAAGGGGGGAAAGGGAGAAGGAGGGAGTGTGGCGCAGAAAGAGGACTATGACAGGCAAAGTGGCGGCTGGTCCGATAAGAGCCAGATTAGATGAAGGGATGGACTCCATGGGCCAGGTTAAAGATTTCACTTTTTATCATCTTAAGAACAAAGACAAGCTAGTTAAGGTTTTAAAGCAGGGCCAGGGGTAAGGTGAGCAGGTTTGCATTTCTAGAAGGCACCCTGGCTTCGTATGCCAAGTCTACTGAAGAGGGTTAGCATGGGAGTTGGTGGCCCAGCTGGGGTTGTTAGCGGTGTGAGTGCATGGAAAAAATCAGGCACACTTCAAGGCATCTTGGAGATCTCCCCCCAACCGTGCTTCCCTAAATCCTGATACCCCACTTTGTAGTCCAAGCTCACCTTCTCTGACAGAGCCTCCTCCAGTGTCGCCAGGGCAGTGTCTGTATTACTGGAATCTGTCTGCAGGGACTTCACTCTGTCTTTCAGATTGGTCAGTTGCTTGTCTTTATCCCTAAGTTGTTCTTGCAAGTTTTCAATCTGAAAATAAAGATCACCGTATTTATTGTGCATTTGATCATATATGTAGGGCCAAGATTCCAGAAGTGGACTTGTTAAAAAAAAATAGACTTGAGATTACAGAAATTGTCAGCATTACGAGGTTACACTTTGGCTTAGAATCAATGCTGTTTTAATGAGGCCTTCCGTCTTCCACATAATCCAAGCTTGCATTTAAATGGTGACACCGGAGAGCAGAATATCTCCCTCCTTATAAATGCAATCCCATCAGACATGTAAGCACTACTATTTCTATCTGTTTCTATCCCTTTTACCAGCCCTTCAAGTCTCAAATCCATAGACCTTTCCATGGTACAGTAAGTCAGAAAAACACATATACAGGATTTATTCACTCAATGAACAGAATGGGTACTCAGTCTGCACCAAGCACCATATCAGTACAGAGCAGAACCTGTGTAGTCATTCACTCCCTCCTTTATTAAGCATTAAACTTTGTGATATGCCAAATGTTGTCAAGTGGCTGTTTCAAAGTAGCCACATGAAAAGCCAAGTAGGTTATCACCAGTAGACTGTTAATGGGAAGAACTTGTGATATAAATCAAATGTAACAAGTACTAAACACTCCATTTGGCAACTAAGTCATGTGCTGGCAACCTACCAGGCACTTTCATCCACTATCTGCAGCCTGAAATAAACACTCCAAATAGGCAATTATAACGCCTGCCCAGGAGCGGCAGCCAGGACCTTCTAGTGGGCATTGCGTACATTATCATTCATGTTTTATTCTCTGCTTTCAAACCACATATTTCTTATCTAAGGATTTAAAAAAAGCTCTACTGTACAAACAATTTATTCATATTAAGGGTTTTAAAATGACAAGGAAAAATAGTAGTACAATTCCAAGATAAGTCCATTCAAAATATTTGTATTCTGCACCCAGGCTTTCTCAGGAAATCATTCCAAATGTATGTTTCACAATGTGTGACTCAAACAAATTTTCAGATTGCTTGATTCATTTAGCATGAATCTGGAATGGCCAGTGGTAGCAGCAATAATGAGGAGAAAGTAACAGTAGAGGTGGCAACGGCAGCAGCATCGAAATGGCTGTGAATACCAAGACAGAGCTGCTACTGACCTTCAATATACAGCACAGGTGGCAAACACAAGGCCCACGGGCCGGATCCAGCCCTCCACCTTCCTTTAGCCAGCCCGGCACTTGGTTTCTACCCGGCGGCAGAACCGAGCTCTTACTTAACTGTTAAGGAGTAGTTACATTCATACAGTCCTAAAAACACATTCAGCCTTTTGAAGGCAACCTCGAGGCTGATGTGGCCCCTGGTGAAAATGACACCCCTGATCTACAGGATGCAACTTGGTGAATTTTTCCAATGGTTACAATGGTGGTGGGAGAACAGAGATGAATTTTTCCTCCTCCTGTTCTTCCTTCCCTCCTTCCTACATTCCCTTCTCCCTTCTTTCTTTCTTTCTTGGTTTTTTTTTGCCCATGTATTTTTTTAATAAGACATGTTTTCTTCTTTGAGACACATACCCTGGAAACTCACATTATAAATATCAAATAATTAACTTTCTCGTTCATCAAAATGCAGTGTGTTCCTCTCCAGCCACCACTGTGAGAATTCACTGTTCCTCCATGGAAAACAAGAATTCAAAAAGCATAATCATCTGCAGTCAAAACAAGATTCCTCCATTCCAGCCCTGGCTGGTATAGCTCAGTGGATTGGGTGCGGGCCTGCAAACCAAACAACCGCTGTTCGATTCCCAGTCAGGGCAGATGCCTGGGTTGCAGGCCAGCTCCCAGCAGGGGATGCACAAGAGGCAACCATACATTCATATTTCTCTTCCCTTCTCCTTCCCTTCCCCTCTAAAGATAAATAAATAAAATATTTTTTTAAAAAAGATTCCTCCATTCCAGACAAGTGTTCATAGAGCTTTATAACATCATAAGCAAACACACGAAGGAGCAAGAATACAGACACTTACATGTCAGAATGATGGTTGTTCTATAGTAGAAACCAGCAACTGAGAGGATTGATTCTTTTTCATTTTTAAAAAGAATTATATTTATTTACTTTTAGGCAGAGGAGAAGGCAGGGAGAAAGACGGAGGAGAAACAACAATGTGTGGTTGCCTCTCACATGGCCCCCCCCCGGGAACCTGGCCTGCAACCCAGGCATGTGCTCTGACTGGGAATCAAACCAGTGACCCTTTGGTTCTCAAGCTGTCACTCAATCCACTGAGCCATACCAGCCAGGGTCCATTATGCAAATATTTAAAAGCATGTTTGCATACAATTGTCAGTAAATGGAAATAGTAGAATGCAAAGAGGGGAAAAGCAGAATGTGAAAAAACATAATTTTGTTTTATAAAGTTCTTACATAAAACAAAATGTATATGAAAGAAACTCACTTAAAATGTTTGTCAGTGGTATGAATAGTGATTTTAGTTTTCTTCTTTATACTTTCTATATCTTTATACTTTATACATCTGTTGACTTGTTTTTCCTTGAACAGGATAAACAGAAGACCAGGGAACCAGAATGAGAAAAAGTCACCCAGAAAAATGTTCCAATCTTTGATGCAAATGCTCCTAATGCAGATGCTGTTGCCCCAGCCGCTGAATTCCAGAAACTGAACACAAAGCCAGCAGGACACCACCACTAGCTCTGCAACCATGCAGCACCATGGCCTTGGCCTTGCAGTCACTGCAGCAGACAGAGCTCCTCACATTCCCAACATTCCAACAACTCTGGAGCAGATGCACCTATTGAGCAGAATAAAGGTCAGGCACACGGCCCATTTGCAAAGGAATCTGAGAAACCAAGTGTTAACAATTTCACCTTCCAGCATGAGAGGTCCTTCATAAGCTCAGAAGAAAATCAGAGCGTGGGGCAGCCGAAAAAGGATACCTATCTACAACACCAAGGGAGACACCTGGTGTGAGCTTCTAAATCCAGCAAATTACACTCTCCTGGAACAATTATTTAACTATCTCTCTTCGAAATTCTTACAAGGCTATAAATCTAAGCTTTGATTCAGACACTTGCCCAAATGTGTAGTTCATGCAACTCCTTGTTACCAGTCTGTGATAAGAACACTAGAGACATTGAGAGTGTCCGTATATCACTCCAATATTCAAGAAGATGACTGACAGACTTCTCACCTTGAGCAGTATACAGACAAGGTGAGATGTTTTTGAACTCATGTGTCATTTGTGGTTAGAACCTCACCATGATCGTACATAGTAAGACCACATATTGTTACATGACAGATTGGAAATTTTAAAAAGAAATAGATTGCTTAGTAAGCACAAATTTATAGGACTGCTAATCTCTCAATGCTTCAGAAATACCTTTCTTTTCCTTTTTTATTATAGTAAAATACACATAAAATTGACCATTTTAACATTTTAAATGTACAGTTCAGTAATATTGAACAACTTCATGTTGCGCGGTCATTGCCACCACCCATCTCCATGTGTCTGCCCTTAGTTCTACACAACTGTATCATACGTAGATTCAAGCGACCACCACCAAAGTCAGGATACAGAACAATTCCATCACAGCAGGGATCTCTTGTATTGCTCATTTATAACTGCACCCACTTAGCTCAGGCAACCACGAATCTGTCCTCCATTTCCATAATGTTGTTATCCCAAAAACATTATGTAAATGTAGTCATACAGTATATAACCTTTAGGATTGGCTTTTTCTTCCATTTAGCATAATTTTCTGGAAATCCATCCAAGATGTTAAATTTACCAATAATTTCTTCCTTTTAGTTGCAAGGCAGTATTCCATGACATGGATATACCAGATATTGAATGATTCACCTATTAAAGGATATTGGGTTGTTTCCAATTTGGGGCTATTACAAATAAACTAGTATGACCTTCTTGTGCAAGCACTGTGCTAAAACCCCAGAAACTAGGCTTACAAATAGAGTAGCATGACCATATGTGTACAAGTTTCTTCTATGAACTTAAGCCTTCATTTCTCTGAGGTAAATGCTTCCAGGGTGCTATTGTCAGGTCATGTAGGATTTGAGCAATTTTAGTTGTATGAGAAACTGCCAAACTTTTCCAGAGTAGCTGCACCATTTACATCCCACCCACAGTGTATAAATGTGCTGGTGTCCCTCCACTCCCACCAACATCTGGTGGTGTCACTACTTTCTATTTTAGTAATTCTGATAGGTATGTAGTGACATCTCATTATAGTTTCATTTGCATTTCTCTTGACTAATCATTTTAAGCATCTTTTCATATGCTTATTTGCCACCTGTAAGTCCTCTTCAGTAAATGTCTTTTCTTGGATACTTTTTTTTTAAGATTTTTAAAATTTATTTATCTTTAGAGGGGAAGGGAAGGAGAGAGGGAGAGAAATACCAATGTATGGTTGCCTTTCGTGCGTCCCCTGCTGGGAACTGGCCTGCAACCCAGGCATGTGGCCTGACTGGGAATCGAACCGCCATTGTCTGGTTCGCAGGCCTGTGCTCAATCCACTGAGCTACACAAGCCAGGGCAATAACTGGATACTTTTCAGTACTGGCTTTTGACAGTCCTTTATATAGTCCAGACACTCACTCTTTGTCAGATATATAACGTACAGTTAATTTCTGTATTTCTCTCCAGGCTGCAGCTTGTCTTTCATCCTTTTCACAGCACCTTTCACAGCACAGCAAGTCCAGTTTACCATCCTTTTCCCTTCATGAATCATGCTTTTGATATCAGTTCCATGAAGTCATTCTCAAGACCTAGATTCTAGAGATTTTACCCTATAGTCTGTCTAATAAATTTCTAGTTTTCTGTTTTACATTTAAGTCCATATCTACTTTGATTTAATTGCCTAAGGTGTGAGGTTTGCCCAATATTCATTTTCCCGGCCTATGAATGTCCAAATGGTTTGGTACCATTTATTAAAAAGACTATTCTTCCTCCATTGAAATGTTTTTGCACCTTTGTAAAATAAACAGTAGGGCATATTTGCATAGGTGTGTTCCTGG